CACAGTAATATTTTCTATCTCTTCCAGGTATTTCACTCTGAAAAAGGCACGAAGAGCTCAAGAACAAAGGCTGAAGACAACGAGGTGGTGAGAATAAAGGCTGAAGGAAAAGAGGTGGGGAGATGTGTTTTACAGACTTCAATAGAGTTGCATTTTAGGCGTGGGTTCTCTGGGGAAAAGGGCTGAGACAGGCATGAAAGCAATATTATTTCTTTATTATTAACCAATAATAATCACGGTAGACAAATAATGTTGTAAGGGTTATACAGTAGTAATAACCCTTTAGTATTGAGAAGAGACCTTAGGTGTAATGGACAACACTGCTATGATAGAACTGGTAAGGCTAATAGACTGAAAAGTTCCCATAGCAGAGTGGATGGGTTTTGGAGTTAAACAGACTTAGGTTCAAGTCCTGGCTCAGTCACTTAAGAGCGATGCTACTTTGGGCAAGTTATTTATCTTCTTTCAGCCTCTGTAAAGTGTCCAGTAGGGGCATCTGGTAACTGAGCCAGCGGTGGTGGCAGTAGTAGCAGTAGGTGATATGATTACTAAACTCCACTCATATTTTTAACCCCGTGCTGATATTGTATTTAAAAAGTTAGTACAGGCCCAATGACTTCCTGAGATCTTTTCCAGCTCCAGTGTTCCTGTATTCCCCACCCAAAGGAGAGTCTACTCAAACACGGGACAGGAATAAGCCCATTAGGTCGGGGCTAGGATCAGATGTTAGCAGTCTCAGGAAGGGCACAGCTGCTCTGACAGTAGTCATAGTGCAATTCCAGACCCTCCTAAAACCATGGCTCAGATCACCCAGCAATATGAGCTGCTCATTTTACAACCCCAAAAGGCTAGGTCATGTGGGTGGCTCAGTTGCACCTGTAGAGAGTCAGGCTTCCTTTCAGGGTTTGTGCAACCAAGTTGGGTCACATGGCCACTGCAATGTCCCCTCAATTGAGGAGTGCAGTTGCCTTCAGAGCACATTCTTTCTCAGCCATGATAGCCCATGTAGAACCTTTGTGCAAATTAGAAAACAGCTCATTCTTTGGGATAGCTGCTCTACTCCTATGTAAAGGGCTGGATGACTCGGGTGGGAACTGAATTTCAGCTTTGTGTAAGGCACCGCTTACACATACACGCTGTCGAGCAGCTTTGCCCATTCCCCAAAATTTTCCTGGGAGCCACAGAGGTATGAAGAGAATAGAATTACTGACTGAAAGGATATTAGGACTGGAATAAATCTTAAAGGTCATCTACTCCAGTCTCCTCATTTAATAATTTGTCCAGAGACTGGCTTGGCATGCATGCATTTGATTATTATGTAAATTTAGAGTATTCTCTATCTTGCTTTTAAAAAATGCTGGTAAAATCTCAAGACATATGTACAAAAGGTATAAGGAAAAATGCAATAAACACCCTTTAACTCCACTTTTCAGTGTATGAAATAAACTGTTACCAAACCGGCTGATGCCCCTTAGGCTGATGTATAATACCTTCCTTGAGCACACCCCCATCCTGTCCTGAGAGAGGAAGTCCCACTATTGTGGATTAGGTGTTCATGATTCTCACGTATTTATTATTTCATTACATACCATATATTTTTGTCATTATTCTTTGGAACTTGGTTATTTTTGGCTTAACATTGTGTTTATAAGATTCATCTATTTTAAGTGGATACTTATAGCCCTATTTGATTCATTTTTATAGCTATTTCCTCATTTATTCTGTTGATGGGACAGGTCTTCCTTCCTTCCTTCCTTCCTTCCTTCCTTCCTTCCTTCCTTCCTTTCTTCCTTCCTTCCTTCCTTCCTTCCTTCCTTCTACAAACAATGCAAAAATGACCCTTCTAATACAAGCCTCCTAATTTGCCTGGGTGAGAGTTTATCTAGTTCCCAGCTATCCAGCATGGTAGCCACTCAAGTGGCTATTGAACACTTGAAATAGATCTAGTTTGAATTGAGATGTGCTACAGGTGTAAAATGCATATTGTATTTCAAGAACTTAGTATGAGAAAAGAATACAAAATGTTAATTGTAATATATTATTTTTGCTGAAATATATATTATATATAAATATATAATTAATATTGATTGTATTGACATGTTGAAATAATGGCATTCCAGATATGTTGTTAAGGTAACATAGAACATGAAACCTTCAACCAGAAAGCTGATGGGTCCTACACAAAATATCCAGAAAACATTTTTTTTTCCCCTGGAGACAAGGATAAATCTCACTTCAGCCCGATGTGGAGTGACTCATACCATTAGGAGTCACCCTTCTTATTCACTCTGGAAAAAAATTTCCAAACTTCAATAGATAAGAATTGTCCAGGGAAATCATTTACTTTCCTTGATGCTTAGAATCTTGTGAGGAGCTAAAAACAAGCTTATTTAACATTTAGTGAGCACTTTTATTTGAGACCAAAAAAACCCACAACTTGGGTTATAAAAGCAAGATCTGTGATGTTGGGCTGGCAGAGAAGGCTTCTCTCTGGAGCTCAGATTGGTCATAACTTACATTATCATATGACTTGTGTAAAGGCCTCCTGGTATCCAGGGGCCACATCAAACACAGGGATCGCCCTTGAGGCTGACAAACTGGGGGAGAGACCCAGCAGCCGCATCCTCTTAGGGGAGAATCTAGGCTTGCTTTTGCCAAGATAACCTGTTGAGATTTTGTTTTAATTTTCAAGATTGAGAAGACAGAAGCAATACATCAACAATTTCAGAAGTTTTTGACTGAAATAAGCAAACTCACTAATGATTATGAACTGAACATAGCCAACAGGCTGTTTGGAGAAAAAACATACCTCTTCCTTCAAGTAAGTTTGCTGTGCTTACCATATCTGTGAGTGGTATTCTGGAATGGCCAAGGGGCTCTAGTAGGACTGTGGGTCCTGAAGTCGGGCTGCCTGGCTCTGGTCACATCCCTGCGGTGCTTTTCCATCCTGATCTACAGATATTCAGAACTGCAGGGAGCTTCTTTATAGTCCTGGCAATCTGAGCCTGATTTTTGCCTCATCCCCAGATAAGCTGCATAAAAATGTGCATGCAGGTACTCAATGTGAGATGCCCAGGACCTTACAATTTCTCTTACTGTATTAGTCATCCCAATGTATACATAAATTTATTTAGAGATGTTGGCAATTGATAAATTGACTTTTTAACCTCTTTTTATTCCTTCCTTGTTTCTCCTAAAGAAATACTTAGATTATGTTGAAAAATATTATCATGCATCTCTGGAACCTGTTGATTTTGTAAACGCAGCAGATGAAAGTCGAAAGAAGATTAATTCCTGGGTTGAAAGCAAAACAAATGGTAGAGTATGGGTGGGTCATTCATTGCAAAAAAACCAGAAACAAACAAACACACAGACAAAAAACACTTCTTGACAATCTGCTGTGAGTGAAGCCCTGGACTTGTCACTGCGTGAGGTGCCATATAATGCACAAGCTTTGGGAAGGGACTTGAGACAGGTTTTGCAGGGTTGGAAGGGCAAGCCTGGGCCTAGGAGGTAGGGAGGGCACTGCAGATGGTGGAGCAATTTCAGCAAATGTGGAGAGGCCAAGGGGAGCCAGCAGGGGACTGCATGAAGCCAAATGCATGGAAACGCTTGCTGGAGAACTGTTTACACATAGCCATGGATCACAATATCTTGGGGGTCCCGAAAATGGGATGATGCCTGTCTTGGGTTTACATTCTTTCCTTTATATCGGAGCCTTTCTTCCTGAGTTTTTCTCTGTCTGTGTTAAGTGAGAAACACGCAGCTCTCCCATCAAGACTTGTTCCCATCCACAGCTGGGGCCACCTGGTCTTCATCTTCACTTAAGCATGGTGCAGGGATAATGACAAACGACAGCCCCCCCCCACAGCAGAGGATTTGACAAGTTTCTTATCCCATTCTTCCTTTCTCATCCCCTAGTATGAGAAATCCACAGAGAAATGTTAATGTGGAAATTCACCTTGGGGAGCAATAGCTGATACTTTAGTGTTAGAGTTTCAGATTCCATTTTTATACCAATTATCAGAGACACC